TCCTGTCAGAGGTCAAACTTCTGCAACCGCCTGCAGCGCTTGGCTCACTTTAAGCCATTTTGAGGTCCCTGCCTTGGTGGCTTCCAAGTACTTCTGCTTTGCTAGGACAAGCGGGCAAAAGCCTCGACATCCACAAGCTGCTCCGGATGATTGGGGCTCTGAGGCTTCATTGTGTGCCAGTGCCTGGATCTAGTGGGGCCTTCACCTCATTGCATAAGGTGCAGTTGAGCTGAGCCTAACTCAGCATCCGAATCTGAGGGTGGCCTTTGCCTTCACCAGGAGGAACTTTTTCGCCATGGGCGGCATCACCGCGCCAAAGACCTCAAGCTCCACCCGCTCAAGAAAGCTTACCAAAGCTTTGCTTCTGGCCTGCCTTTGGGGTCTCCTGCGCCAGGCACATGGGCTCAAGGGCTTTCAATGGTCTAAAAGCGCTGAGCCAGGCCTTGAGAGGAACAATGGCCTTGGAGCGGAGGCGATCTGCCCCCAACCACTCATCATACTGCTTATCGTAGCCAATGAAGTTGACCTGGGCTTCCAACGGCGTAAATGTTTACAAGCTTCTTTCTTCAGGTTCCGACTTTCACGGGCGTCTCCTTCTTCTTTAAGTTGACAGCCACCACCTGAGGCAGGTTTACAGCCTGCAGCAAAGCCTGGAAATAATTCCATTTTGCAGCGCTGCCTCAGCTGCCCAGTACTTGCCGTCTGCCTGGGCCCAGGTGCTTGAAGTTGACTTCAAAGTGGCAGGGAGGACGTGACCCATTTCTCAAGCATGAGCCCCTGCCTCCGCCTGAAGTCGGAGACCCTTCCTTAGATCGGGGTGTCCCAGCTTGCCCCATGATAGCATGCCACTGATAGCAGACAGCACTGAGAAAGCCACTTCACAGCGGAGTAATCCATTGGCTTGGGCTTCGGAGCTGCCTTTGCCTTAGCCTGCCAAGGCATGAACAAGGCAAAAACCTCCCAAAGCCTTTCGGGTACGGTTCTACGGTTCCCTGCGTTTCTCTGGTTCCCTGCGGTTCCCTGCCTTTGCCTTTGGTGCAGACTTCTTTGGCTCAGGTGCCTTGGACTTGGGAGCCTTGGCGGCTTTCTCCTTCGGCAAGGCCTGCAAAGCATCGGATCAGTCTGATTGGACCCTCTGGTGATGGGGCTATCGATCCACAGATCCAATCGCTCCTTTGACTTCAGCATGTCAAGAGACACCCAGGCATCGGCTTCAGGCCCGTAGCCATTGTAGGTGACCTGGCAATGCCCATGGCAGGACTCATAAAGTGCTGCTGCCGCTAGCCGCTAGCCATAACATCGGACACCTTCACCGGCGCTTTCTTTCGTTTGGCTTGCTGTGAGAGGTTGGTGATCTCGGCTGGGTAGAACTCGCCTTAGCTTGAATCGTGAGCGGTGTGCTCTGCATCGGCAGCACTGGGCCCAAATTGAGTGACCCAACATCTGCTGACGAAGCTTTAGGAGTCATAAACCCAGCTGGCATTTTTGTTGACGAACAGGCTGCCGCAAGCTAGTGTCATGACAGCATCATGCTGAGATGTGCTGAGAACCCAGCAGCACCTAGCTCAAAGCATAAGTGGCTTCGTGAAGACCCAGCACAAGCCCTACTTTGCCCTAGAGGGTCCAGATTTGGCCGGGGCGCCGTCGTCTTTGTACATAGCATGCAGCTTCATACCGACTTCGAGATACTCCACCATGGTGCCTCGATCTCGCCAAGCAACAAGGACAAGGCAGCCACGAGCAGCCAAGACAAGCGGACCTAGTGAAGACTTGCTTTGCCGCTGTCAATCGCCTCAGTTCACCAGCCAATCATCGACTTGTCGTGGTGCCTGTGACTTGAAAAGCTGAGAGGCAGACAACTCTCTGTTGCTGCTTGAATTGCTTGAGCCGAAAATGGCCAGGCATGGAGACATGACAAAAACGCTCGGATAAAGTCTACGTTGTCATGAATCAGAGTCACCTGCTACTGTTCTTAGCAGCTGCAAGAGACACAGCTTTGTGAGGCAGCCTGTGCCATGTCAGGGCCCCGGCACACCTTGGCAGAAGGTGGGCACTGGATCCTTGGCCAGCATCGCGTACACCCTGAGTGGTTGATCAATCGTCTTTCTTCCGACAGCTGCTCTGACGCTGATGGCTACTAAGATCTAATAAGCGTTGGGCAACTGAGTCAAAGGAAATAATCATTGCACGCACATCACGATTCTATGCTGTTGATTGAGTGGAAGGCCTGAAACTCGCAAGGATGGATTCCTCCAAAGCTCCGGTCCAGGAGGTTTGTGTAGAACTCATCTGCGACATGAGCTTCTTCTATCATTAAAGAAATGAAGAGTATAAGGCCTGCATTGACATCTGAGACCTTGGAAGCCAAGGCCTGTCCAGCCGCCAAAGGCCAAATCAACCTGCCATTTAGATTTGTGATTTGTGCGCCCAGTGATCTGCTTGCAGCTTCCGTGCACCTCTTTAGGCCGTCTGGGACCCCTTTCCGCACGGACGTCATAAAGTCTGGCATCAGATCCTGGACATACCATGCAACCGGCGCATGAATACCGAATGTGGGCTCGGCCCTCCTCTGGAAGGCCCTTGCAGGACTGTAAGAAAGTCACGGCGGAATCCTGGCAACGCATGATCTTTGTTCTACCCTGCTACATATACCTCCTCAAGCCAGGGAAGGCTGGCCGACCAGTGAAGCGCCTGAGCCTAAGGCCAACTGGCGTGGCTGTCAAAACATTGGCCACCGGAAGGCTTGCTTTGCCTCCATGAGGTCCGCATCCGTCACCTTGCTCAGTGCCTCCTGGTCTACCTTGGAATTCTCAGAGCAGACGTGACATGGAGTGGCACATGGGATATACGGGGGTTCTTGTGAGACTGGCCTATTACTGCATTGCCCTGTGCTGAGGGCGTGGCCAGATCACCAACGCCTTCCCGACTCCCGCGATATGGTACGAAGGAGCCGCCGCCAACCTCAAGCAAAACAAGGCTCAAACGCCAGAAATGACTGTGAGTCTGGTGACACGATCAAGGTGGCAATCCTTCATGCTCCGGCTGCCCCCAAACTTCTGTCGAACCCCGTCAATTATTTTGCTCAGCAGGTCAAGTCACACAGCTGGTGGGCCTGCCGATGCATTGAAGACTTCAGCTGATGCAAAGTATCAAAGGACTAGCAATACGCGTCATGCGACACAAAAAGCTGTCCTCAGGAAAACAAGTTCACGTGGAAACCAACTTCCTAGCCAGGAGACCCTTCACACTCGACTCACATCGTGACCCGTGGCCCAGGCTGCATCGGAGAAGTCCCGGCTCGGGGCCTGGCAACATGAAAGCAATCAGCTTTGCTTTGGTCCTCGGTCCTGGGAGCCGCGCGCAAGGTAGCCATGCAGCAATGCGACGCCAAAGCCAATTTCGCTTCTGCCGGCTCGCCGCCTTTTTACTGAACTTCCAGAAAATCACTCTCGGGTTTTGGGAATCTGTAGCACCTCGAGCTGCATTTTGAGGTCATCTTGCTGTCCAGGGGTGTACCTTGTAATGCCAGGGCAGGTTTGCCGACTATCACGGGGACTGTGAAATGATCTCGGAGGGTGCATGGAGCTCCGCCGCCGGGCCGTCTTGAACTTGTCGAAGCGCTTCGCCAAGGCCTGCCGTCCAGCACTTTGCTGCTGCTGCGCACTTCCAGGGGTATCTCATGCACCTCGGCCCATCGTGTCACCAGCTCGGCGGACTCCGGGGTCAGCTGCCACCTTGCAGCCCCGCAAGCGACCAAAAGCACCGACATACCACATGTCCCAACTCTGGAGGGCCCCAGCCACTTGCCACGGCCGTCAGACAGACGAACGTGTTCGCTTCCCTGCGCGCGGCCTGACTCGAGTGGACTGCAAGAAGCCTGCCTCACTTCCCAAGCCCGCACCTAACACGGAGGCGATGTGCGTCAGAAGCACGACCTGAAGGACACGCGCTTTACCAGACTGGCTGGCCATTTCCGTAATTGCCATCTTCGCGAAGCCTCGTCCGGCTGCACGTCGCTAGTGGCGGCGGTGCCTTCCACGGCAGCAGCGATCTGCACCCTTGGCACTGCAAGAGACGACACCACAGGAAGCCTGCACTTTCAGCACTTGCAGCAATGGCAAACAACGGCAGCCGGCAGCCAACAGCTTCTCTGCATGAGAGCAGTGCGGATCAAAGACCATGTTCGGCTTCTCCTCCCGGTGTGTTTTCAAAGCTGTGCAAAGCTGCGCCTTTTGCATCTGTTCCCTGCCTTGTAAAATGCAAGGGCATCTGCTGTGAGCCTCGCGTAGACCTGCCGAGGAACCGCTGCTCGCTCTCCCGGTCTCCCTCACGCTCTGAATGTTGCTCTGCCTCTTTGGGTCTTCGAGGTGCGCTGGATGTTACCAAGGAGATCCAACCTTCCAACGTTTGGAAACCCTACCTGCGAGGTCTCAGGAGCTCAGCTGAGCGGGCCTTCTAACACAGCATGCACTCCAGGCCCTGAGCACAGCACAGCACTTACGTTGCGCTGCAGGTGCTGCAGCTCCTTTGCATGGCCTATGCCACGTTGCAGCGCGATCAGCTCCTCCTTTGGCGCATCCTCAGAGCTGAAACTTTTAACCAGAATATGCGAGAACGTGGTTCCACTTTGGAAGCAATGAAAGCTCGTCCCAGCGTCTCTTATGAGCCCATGCCAGCACTGGCACTCCATGGCTCGGACTCAGACGATCACATGTTATCAACTTGCTATACGATTCAGAAGCACGGTTTCTGCTCAACACGGAGGACTAAGCGGCCCCATGTTTTGCCTAGCACGGCTTCGTTCAGTGTGTTGCATGACTCGACCGTGCAGTTGTACAAGATTTTCAGTCAAGTGAGTCAATAGCTGCGAGGTGGGTTGTTGGTGCCAACTTAGGAGGATGTGCGCCAAGCATCCGTAGTTGTGCCTTAAGCCAGCTATGGACCCATGTTATGGCGGCCCAGCAAGCAGTGAGTCAACAGTCCAGCTCTCACACCGAGTCCTTCTCGGATGTTGAGTCGAGATATCGGCTCAGCCGACTCTCCTCGAGTCAGGCAAAGCAATTGCCTAAAGAGCAATCGTGATGGCGAGCTGTAGGCCTCATCATCCAGCCGTTGCTGAATCTCTTGCAGGAATTGAGGGCACGAGTACCTGCGGACATGCCCGTTCTCTGGGAATTTCAATGAACATGCTCAACTTGCCCCCCTGCTCAGGAGAAAATAGTGTGACAACATGAGTTGAAACTTGCAGCTTGCGCAGACAACCAGCACGCATGGGGTCTAACTCCAGCTCCTCTTCTTCTGTATCATGAAGCCTGTGGCGCACGCAGCAGTCCAACCCGCCACCTTCGAGCGGTAGTACTCAGAGCTGGTTGTGAGCAGCTTGCTCTCGAAATCTACCTGTCTTGTAAGGGGCCAGGACGCGTGTGCTCAACCGCTTGACGGTGGCCTTGTACACCCCGCGGGCCTGTGACCTCAGTCCAACAGATCCACATCACAGTCAATCAAGAGCACTAGGCGCACTGAGCCGGAGGCTGCCACAGAAGACGATCGGCAGCATTCTTGTCCATGCCGTCCTTCTGCTTGACCACTTTTGGACCTGCGTCTCCAACCTCAGCTGCAGCCAACATTCGCTGCCGGGTGGTGGGTGTTCTGAGCGGTTTCAGGGCCCAGGCCGTGCACAGCATTTCGACTAGGCGCCGCATGACATCCTCCATACTTTACAATAATTGCTGCATGACAACACTGAGGCCTGCGACGCCTATCACAGCCTGTCGTGTGCTCTCATGCCTTTTTTGATCCCGTCACCCTCACTTGGAAAATCGGGCTCGCTTGGCCTCGCGGACATAACGTGGAGTCTTCTCACTGTTCTTGATGCCGGGCGAGTCTTCCACGCCGCTGGCAACATCTACACCAAAAGGACCTATAGAGGAGACGAGCTCTGCCACGTTTGAATCTGTGAGGCCACCTGCCACGATGACTGGAATCTGCCACTCCTCCTGCACCTTTCGTGCCACGGCCCAGTCAAAGGCCGCTCCCGTGCCACCGGAGTGGCTACCCTTCACGGCCGTGTCTAGCAGGATCGAGTCACAAACCTCACCATAAGACAGGAGGCGCTGCTTCAGTTCCTCCAGCTCAGATGGCGCTGCTCCTTCGCCGGTCGGAGGGAGATGTGCAACTTTGATGATCCATGTGTCAGGCAAACGGGCCCGCAGCTGCTGCACAAAGTCAGGGCTCTCACCTCCATGCAGCTGCACCGCATCTACCCCGCTGGCTTCAGCAGTTTCGTAGACCTGCTGCAAGTCTTGGTCCATGAAAACCCCGACAACGAGAGGCCTTTGGCATGCCGATCGCAACTGGGCAGCCCGGGACGAAAGCGAGGTCTTCAGGTCCCCGTCGTCTTTGGGGCGGAGCAGCCGGCTGCTGCGCTCTCCGAAGCGACGCACGGCTGCCACCAAGCTCTGGGCCTCGGACAACGGAGATCTCCAAACTTTTCAGATCACAAACACTTGCGTGGAAAGAGTTTGAAAGCTTCAGGGACACTTGCCCACCTCCTCGAGCGACGCCTGACGCTTGGACTTGGCGAAAATGACTCCGATCAGATTGGCCCCAGCCCCCACGGCGCAGTTCGCGTCCTCTTCGCGGCGCACGCCGCAGACCTTCACCAGGACGGCCCCTGGGGCCACTTGCAACGCGCTCGCCTCTGCGCGCTTCTCCATCATGCCAAGAATGGCGGCGCCTGATACAGTCAGGTCAAGGGGTTGGAAGGCAACAAAGGCTCTCTCCTGCTTTCTGTCCTTAACTTCAGTTATATCCCTGCCCTACTGACTGCAACAAACCCTGCGAAAGTCTTACTGTCTCGCTATCTTCGATACCTGACAACCAAAGAATGATTGAGTCGACGCTCAATCCGTCTTCGTCTGAATTTTTGTGACCATCTTTTTGAGTGTGTGTTTGTGCATTGCATGACTTGAGAAACGCCTCGCGCCTGGATCAGGGGCCCTCATGAGAGCTTCGCCGACCAGGATCCCCGAGCAGTGGATCTCTCGGCAATGCGCCACATCCTCCGCTGTGGACAACCCGCTGAGCGCCAGCAGCTTTACCTCCGACCCCAGCTTGACGCCTCGCCGCCCGAGCTCCTGCGCAGAGCTGAGTATCCCTAATTCACACTTTTACCAGCACCTTGTACCGGCTTTACAGATCTCTGCTGGAGCTACCCTCCTGCGCGATGGCTGCAGTGCGGTTCTTGTCCAAAACCAAGGTATGCAGGTTCCGGTTGTTGACGCCTAGGACCCGAGCGCCGGCTCGCAAGGCCACCTCAGAGCGAAGGCCCTGAACAGACTCAATAAAGTCAACAAAGACCCGCAATAAATCAATGATGAGAATTCCAATTCCGGAAATAAGACCCATGATCACAACAACCTCGCGTGAGCTATGTTCACTGACTCGTCTGCTAGCCGGATGTAATCCCTCAACGCATACCCTGAACCCTCCATTACCGCTCACTGACGGGTACAGCTATCTAAATTTGCAAACCCAGATCCCAAACGCCCAGCTTTGAGGAACCCCCCCAACCTCCAGCTCTTGGTCCGTGACAACCTCCACCAAGGGCTCCAGCCCGTGACTCCGGCAGCAGCTAAGCAGCGCTTGGAGCCTGCTCTCTTGAAGGAAAGCCTATGGGAAGCTTTCCCCACAGTCTGCTTCTGCACATGCCACTCGTGACCTAAATGGCCACGCGACGGTCATTTTCATGCTGATAAGAACTACCAGCGAGTATGCCCCTCATACCCGCCACAGGCCTGCTCTGGGAAAGGATGGAAACCATCAACAAAACAGTGTCAGCGCCATGCGCCAAGGCTTCCAACACCTGATACTCCTTAGAGTCCAAGGTTTCACCATGACGCTTTCAAGGAGCATGATGTTGATTAGCTTACCAACGTTCATGCAGCTACGCAGGGACACATATCCCCAAGTAGACTGTAATCCGAAGATTGGCCAAGGCTCATCAATCAGGAAGTCTTTCCGGAGGCAAGCTGGCCTCCTGGTTCCTTTCTCTGCAGCCCAGGCCTGCGTCCTGTGTAAGAAACACACGTTTGCCTGCCGCAGGATCTCTAACATCTACTGCTTGACTGCCAACCTCGCGGTTTACAACACAATTTGGCTCTGAACTCTTTTAAGCTGTCTCCTCACTCGGACGCTGCGCAAGTCCATGAGGGAGCCTTTGAACCACTTGGGCTCAGTCAGCACCGACAGGATGCTGGCTCCGTGATGGCTGTAGACCAAGGCCTCACTTTGCAGAAACAAATCCCAACTGTTCAACGGTGACGCCACGGCGTTCCACAACTGACCGTCTGCCAGCGCATGCCGGCGGCGCGCCTGCTCGGCAGCGTCGAGGTCTGGGCTGATGTCGCCCTTGGAGGGTGACGCTCGCTTGAACTCCGCGGCCAGAGCTAATCCCCAAGGCGTCTTCTCTGCCTCGCCAATGCAGTCCTCGTCATTCAGAGATAAGAAGAGAAACAAAGAAACACATTGGCTCCCCCAACTTTGCACTGCTGTGGGCCCAGGTTCCACCAGGGACTGCGGCGGTCCAAACTCTTTGACGAAGGCCTGCGCTGCTTCGGACAGCTGCTCGAGTGGCAGCTGCTCCTTGGCGGAGGCCACATCCTGCACCGTAAGGACGCGAAGGGTTCGAAGAAAACGTGCGCGCCGGGCCCTATAGTTCTGATACTGAGAAGGCTGCTCCTGCCTTCTCACGCTGCTGCACGATCTCTTGCAGCTTAGATCGCTTTGCGCTGGGATCTTGAAAGCCGTAAAGGTGTCCGCAGTCCTCCACCTCACAAGAAACACATGAGACCAAAGCGCTGCCTGATGGTCAGCTGCACCTCGTCCACTGCCATGCTGCAAGCGCTTTGGAGGCGGCCAGAGCCCAAGCGTCAAGAAAAGTTGTATGCAATCTTTGGAATTCGAGTCTTATATAATCTATGCAGCTTCAGTCTGACCGCGTGTGGCCCATGCTTCTCATGCCTTGACAACCCTTACTCAGCAGATCTTGCACCGGTGCAAAAGGCTACAGGAAGCGCGCGAGATTCAGATGAAGGCCAACTCACACTTTATACCAAGATCCACGTCCAAACCGTTCGAAGCTGACTATGTCAAAAGTGCAAACCTCACGCCTGAACCAGATGCATCCAGTCTCCTGATCTATCTCTGCGCCATCGCGCTCTCGGTTGACTTGCGCCACCATAGTCTCCAGACACTTCGACTGGCGCCAAGCCAGTGATGAGACCGCTCAGACCACAAACCATCAGATTTTGTCACTGGGAGAACATCTGCGCTACGTCTAGGCAGAATAGAAAGGATTGCTTCTGCGAAGCCAAGATCATTACCTTGGTGTCTCCGGTTGATGGGACTTTGATTTACTCTTGTGGCTTTACTTTCAGTAAGATTACATTACTATCATGAATCTTTCCTCTAGCTTCGATTGCAGGACGGCTGCTGAACTCTGTACTCTCATAGCGACCCCCTCACCAACACGACCACAGCTCAAAGATTGTGCACGATTATACAAATCAGCCGGCATCGGCCAGGTATGAACCAAAGACATGTTACAAATCGATGCCTTCAGCTTGGAGTACACGTGCTCCTGGGATAGGCGAGCATTATGAGCAGTAGTGGCCCAACACATGCATGTGCTCGTGTGACATATGAAGCCAAATAGCGGCTTATCTCGGATTGCCTTCAGCATCGTTCTTAACGTCTTCAGCCAAGAAGCAGAAAAAGCCTGCACAGCCGCCTTGAAGAGGTCCGGGTACTCCTAGCATCATGCAACATCTTGCCAGCACCAGATGACAATGAACTGTTCCATTTGACTGGCAGGCTCCGTGCTGCTCTTGGTGAAGAAACGATCCAAATACCTTGCATCAGGCTTACGGAATCTTATGAAGGTCATGCCCCTTCCTCCTTGCCCAAGGTCCCGGCTGAAAGACCCTCTGCATCCAAAAGACCAGGATCGTGCTCTTTTCCTGCAGTTCAGGCCAGGTGCATCCTTTCCAAAAGGCAAACTTGAAGACCCTCCCTTCCCACGAGTCCCAAAGCTGCGCCAGGGCATTGAGTAGGTCCTCAACATCAAGACTTCTCTCTTCCCAATGCCTTCATCTTTCCGAGGCCCAGGGGAAAGGGCCTCACCCGCCAGGGGCTGGAGCGAAACCATGGCTTCCTTGCAATAGTCGCTGATCACCTTCAGCCAGGGAATAGGACTACTGGGAGCTCGCCCAAGCACTCTGCTCTAAATTCCACATATATGATTTGTCTGTGCTTTTGTGCTTCTGGAATGCGAGCATTTTAGGTGTCTTGGGTATTTGAGAGAGCTTCTGAGGCCATGCCACCTGTTTGTAGTAGGAGTAGAGCTTGAAGGAATGCTGCTCTTGGTCGCCAAACTGTACAACGACTGAGTAGGCCTGGCTCAACGCAACAGGACGGATCTGAGAAAAGGTAAATGCTGAAGGGCTCCCAAGGGCTAATTGCTCATATCTGGCATAGTAGTGGGAAGAGAAAGTCACGTCCACACCCACAGCACTTCTACCGCAGTTCTAAAGAGACTTTCAACGATCCTGAATGATGACACGATGGATGGCTCAAGGAGTGCAACCGGGTCCTTCATAAAAGTCATGTTGGTCTTGTTCTCAAACTTGCCAGTCCTACCGTCCCAGCAGGCATACAGCTTGGCAAGAACAAATAACATGGGTGACTGGCCTCAAATATGCCAGCAAGGGCTGCACCCGCTCCTGCACAACTACTCATGCAACGCACAGATGGCATTGGCTACTTCTATGGTAGCGTGTTGGTCCATCATGCGCGATGGGGTGACTGTGAGACGCTGTGTCCTGCTCGATCAGCTGCAACCCTTGCTCCACCGTCATTGTCCTCAACGAAGCCCATGGCCACAAAGTCACGCACGCAACTTCAGGGGCCCTGGCTCCAAGTTGAGCTTGATCGCATCGCCTTTGGCGACCTCAACAAGTGGCCAAGTCTGCAAAGACACGCGGCGAGATTTTCCGAGGCTTGTGCGGGCTTTGCGGTCATGGCAGCCGCGCTGGCTGCACCAGCGATCGGAGCTCACTGCAGCGGAAAAATGGCTCGCTGCGCCATAACCCTGAAGCCTTTGGCCCCTGGTTCTGTGAGAACCCTTTGAGCCCACATCGCATTCGCCACCAGGTAGAAATGTCTTCAAACTTGGAATTCTGATCAAAAGTCCCGTCCGGTGCGAGCACCTGGTTATCTGGTAAGATCAACCCTCAGGCGGACAATTTGGCATATGGTGAAAGGCATGACCTGGTGCCATGTCGAACCAGTAGTATTGCCAATCAAGCTCGTATCAAGCCAACAGCATGTGGCTTGCAAATGGCAAATACAAGAGCATCATCTGGCCACGACGGCCGCCATGGCTACGAAAGGTCTTGGGATTTCACAGGAGGGTTGCATGCGCGCTGGCTTCAAAATATGGATCTTCATCAAAAGTGAGGTGTTCCTGCAACACCTTGAAACGCTGCTGTCCAAAGCAAACATGCCTCGCTAGATGCGCATCAATCTTGGCTGCAATAATGGTTCATACCTATTCTGGGCATAGCAACCCAACTGTGCGGTCATTAGATCTTGCAACTTAGACCGAGGAAGAGGCCATCAAGAATGGACTTGATGAAGAGAGCAGCATCCTACGGGAAGAAAGCAAGGCCGTAGCAGTGCCCGGCCGTCTGTTCGATGAACGCTAAAACCCTAGCCCTACCCGCCCCACACGTCTTTTGCTTCATTGTTCTTGTCAGGTCACATTTGGCCAGCACAGCGCCTGGCGGGCCAGGTATTTTCATGATTCCGTGTCTTGCCTTTGGTTTATTTTGGGGCATGTATCCGTTGGACAGAAACAGGACCTGCGACATTCAAAGCTCTGCGAGTGACTGATGGATGCATGAAAAATGCGTCGAGGCACTTTGCAATCCGGACCTGAAGTGGCATCAACAGCATCCGCAAACCATACGCCGGGAAATGGTATGGCAGACCCTTGAAGTTCCAACCAACGCCCAGCTAGAGCAGTCAGCCCTAAAGGGCATGCGCTGAACATCTCCCCCAGCAATTTGGCAGCAGAAAAACGTTCAACGTAGACGTTTGTCTAGGCCCAACATTATTTTGTTCTGAAGGTCAATTTGAAGGCAAGACTGGTCACTCATTGCGAACAGAACTTCATGAGGAGGACGCTTGGCTCCGCGATACTTTTTTACAAAAAAAATGCCTGTGGCTGTAGGGAGCAGTCTATTGCAGGTGCACAATCTTTCGGCACTTGCACAAGGTGCCGTGCCTTGCAGTTAGAGGATGGTAGACCCCAGGACGTGTCAACAAAATCAAAATTACATAGAGTAAGCCACTGTTTTCTATCTTTGGGTACCGAGGTATACCTTCCTGAATTTCATGCACTTTCTTTATATACGATATTAAACAGATGAACATTAAGCCCTGCATCCACCGTGGATCTCGTACCTTGGCGGAGGTGGCTTACGCAATTTAAAACGCATTCAAAAAGTTGACCGCAACAGCTTGCGTACGTGATGCAGCCCAAACATGTGCACCATCTAGATTTGAGCGCCCACGTCTGCACCCGCTGTATGATTTTCGACGGTTTTCTACGATTTCCTATGTTTTTCCTCTGGTTTTCTTCGGTTCTCTGTGATTTTCTACCATTTTCCATTTTGGGCTCTTATCGGGACGGTCCTTCGATGAAAAGCGACATGGCGGTCGGATACACACGGGAGATCCGGTTGTCGGCCTGCGGTTGTACGCCTACAAATGCATGGGTAAACAAGGTCAAAGATAAAAAACCCCTTATGCAGAAAGCCCAAACAAGAACTGTCGGCCGCAGGTGTGTGATTGAAGTCGTTGCCGTTGGAGCTAAGAACTCGCAAAGCTAAGCCCTATGTAGTACGCCCGGCAAACTCCACGTCCAAAGCTTCCATCCTCCAATCCTGTCCTGCCAGCTCTCTCGCATTATGGCTTTCCATTATTCCCACCCTTTGTTGGCAAAACCACTCGTGAGGGCCTCGTTTGACTACAGTCAAAGAGATAAACACAACAGGACGTGACAAACCCAGCACAACCTCTGGTTGAAATGATGTAAAGTCCACCACTTGGGCCAGTGAAGCTCTGCCCCAACATTCCTTGGCCGCAATGGACAAGCAGCCTTCCGTGCCGCGTCGCAAGAACTTTTGGCCAGGGTCTGCTCTTCTGAGGCAGCTGCTGGACAACATCCAGGCCGAAATCCTGCAGAATAGCTGGCATGCTGCGTTCTCCAAAAGCTCATAAGGCACGACCTTGCCTTCAACATCTGCAGAGAAGCCATCCCGTCCGCGCCACTACAAGGCTCGGAATGCAAACTACTGCCACGCTAGCCGAAACCTGGAAAGGTTGTCGAGAATACTGCTCTGAGCTTCAGGGTGCAACAGCTTCATCGCAAAAAGCATCTGCTCGGGATTGCAAGAAAGTTGGGAACAGCAGGGATCGGTAGGATTACCCGAGTGGGGTAAACCTAAACCCTAAATCCATGTACTCCAAAGGAGGAAGCTCAGATTGACCCCAATAGGATTGCAGAGCAGGCAGCTCGGTGTGGGGTTGGCCGAGAACGCGAAATCCCCTCCTCCTATGACCACGGACTTCCAAAATAACCCATGGCGTGCGAATATACAGTACCAGCCAGTAGAGGCCCTACCATAGCGGAAAAAAAGTCGTTGAATGGCATCCGATTTTTTTTGGAACTCCGCATCGGCACATGGATTGGCATGGACCCCCATCTGGGAGAGGCCGCTTGGAGGGGCTTCTGAAAAGGTCGCAGGCTATCTCCGCTCTCTTCAGCACCACAAAGCACCTCGAAGAGCTAAGGCTTCCAACAAGCTTCAGGTGGCTTGCACTCTGCTTGCGCGCTTCGCCCGTGGCATCAAAGGCGCCTGGCACGACAAGACGCAATGGGTCAAGGGGTCAGGACTCTGGGAGCATCCCGACAACAGACACGACCGAGACTCAATCAATGACCCAATCAAATAAGCTGTCTCAGCCCAGGCCTCACACGTATCGGCCTGCTCATCATCAAGAATGTCCGCCCCTGAATCCCACGAAGCCATGGCCAAACGCTCATGTTCCGCCCATGACCCGGCTGTTGATGCAATACTGCTTGAATGTATCCTGAGGATCTTGCATCGCCTTCCATCCGATTGCGCCCATGGTTCTTTGCAAATGGGGCCTTGGATGCTAAAGACTTACTGACAAAGTTGGAAGTTCACACGAGGTCAACGACTGAACAGCCCAAAGACTCAGGCGTGCGCCCCCTTCCGCCCACTCCAACCCAATCTCAACCGCAGTCGCGCCAATGGCCTGCAAGCATGAAGAAGCAGAAGTCTTTTCTACTGGCGGGATGAGGGGGAAGGCAGCGCAAATACTTAAATACTGTAAGTATGTCAGAAGGCAAATCATGACCCCATCCCAACAGCCCCTGATGAGCCCTCCAAAGACAAGAGTAACAAGAAAAAAGCATTGGCGTCTCTGCCTATGCCGGAGCAGCCCTCACTGGTCAGCCCAGCTACACCCCCAGTCCCGGATCAGCAGACTAGCCCTGACAACCCCACAAATCCCGATTGCGAGAGCTCCACAAAGAATGCTTCAGAGCCTGCTCCCCTTGAGCCCTCCAG